CTCCGGAGCGTGCATCTTACCCCCAGAGGGCCTCCTCTTGCCCCAGCTCCAGAGAGAAGGAAGAACAGGGGATCAGTAGTTAGCGTAATGGTTATGTTGCTGAACTCCCATGTAGTAGATTGCGGTTCCAGTCCCGGACCTGGTGACTTAAATTCACGCTGGGCGCATGTGCGTGTGTGCCCAAGATCCCAAGAAGAGAATGAAGGAGAAGGGATCATGGCGTGGTAATCCCCCTAGGGGGTGATTTCTCACTTTCTATCTCTCTGTCTCTCTGGCAAGCGCATGCCCCCTATTGCAAAAACCTCTCAAAATAAATAAATAAATAAAAGTCTGGCAAGGTGACCTCAAAGGAGCAAATTTCACAGGACTCCGACTCCCAGGGGCTGAAGAACAAAGGCACTCTGGAAAGTTCTCGCTGGGGTGGCAACAGGGTGCTGTGGCCACTGACTCACGTCTAAAATGGAGGCGCTGGCCTCTGCCACTCCTTCGGCCACACCTGGCAGTCCAGTACTCAGCCACAGACAGGGATAAAGCCAGTAAGTTAGCCAGGGCGCGACTGCTCCTGAAGCCATGAGGGACCAGGGCTGAGGGTCACCTCCAGCCATTCCCCACAGCCTCGCTGGCTGCGCCCCTGTGCTGCGCCACAACACGCTCCCTCTTGGTGCTGCCATACGGGTAGAAAGCTGGGCTCCTCCCCAGGCCAGAGGCATCTTGACTGGTCGTTGCCAGCGTTTGGTTTTGGGGGCACTACAGCACAGTTTTGGCTGTGGGATGTGAGGAGTCTGCTCAGGAGCTCCTGGAAAGGCCTCCTCATCTGCAAAAGGGGCCCCAGGCAGGGACTGTCCGCTTCCCTTCTCTGTCGGTGTTGCCATTACCGTCAGGGGTCATGCGGTGGCTCTAAACAAGCCTCGGGGCAAAGGCAAGGCCATGGGGACCAGATGGCAAAGCAGAACACTAAGCTAGTCTGGGTCCATCAACCTTGGACCTGCTCAACCACCCCACTTCTGGGTGCCTTGTCATCGGGGATAATAGTAACACTGAATTAGTTCTTTATTTTTGGTTTTCTTTTCCAGATTTTTCTTTTTTGACCACAGGGTACAGGCGCTCGCCAGAATGAAACAAAGGGAAAGGGAGAAATCACTGCCTGTGGGGGATGGCCACGCCACAATCCACTCTCCATTCTCTTCTCTGGATTTTAGGCACACATACACACACACCTGGTATGATTTTTCAAGCCACAAGGTCTTGGACTTGAACCATGGTAGACCATGTGGGAGTCTAGCACCTTAACCACCATTTCACCTGCTGGCTCCAGACTTTTTTTATAATTCGTGAGAGAATGCATACATATACATGAGGCAGGTGAGAGAGAAAGAAAAAAAAAAAAAAACCACCCTCACACCGGATCCCCTTCCTCCAGTCAGCCAAGACTCTGGGCTGCATACACATGCCTGGCATACCTTCAGGCCAGGGACTTGAAATGAGGTCAGCAAGTGGCTTCCAGCTCTGTAGTCTGGTAAGCTGCTGAGTGCTCCACAGAGGATGGGCCTGAGTCTTTACTATTTACAGCAAAAGCGATGTTCAGCTGACCTACTGTGTTTCTGAGGAACAACTGAAAGACCTAGAACTGTTGGCTTGGAAAAGAGAATAGCTGGGAGGAAGACACCAAAGCTTTGAGATATGAAGGCCTGTCCTTGGGGGAAACAGTTCAACTTGCTTCTTGTCCAGGGTCACAGCTCCTGGAAGCAAGTCAATTCTTGATAAAGAGTAAGCATTCCAGCAGATGGCATAAGCATTATGTCACTGGATTCCCACATGGTTGATCGCAGTTCAAGTCTCAGATTCAGAGGCTTGAAACTCACACGGGGTATGTGTGCGAACCTGCCCAAAATCCAATACAGGATAATAGAGGTGAAGGGATTGTGGTGTGGCCATCCCTCCTGAGGGATGATTTCTCACTTCTTGTCTCTTTGTCTGTTTCTGTCTTTCCAGTGAGCATACATGCCCTATAGCAAAAATATCGGGGGGGGGGGGGGGGGGGGGGGCGGGT